ATCAATATCATGACCAAAGGGACCCAAAACAGCAGGGCACCACAATTTGATTTCTGTTCCCCAGGCAATGAAAAATATTTCCATGATGGACCTGAAACAGATGTAGAAAAAAAGAGAAACGTCTGAAAATGAGCTTCCTCCTCTTCCCCTGCACATTTGAGTGAAACCCGGCCAGACTGTTCCTACAGGAAAAATCACTTTCATGTTGTCCAGTCTCCAGCTGCTCCATGGATTGGGATGCCAGATCCTGCCAATCTCCATCCACAGCAGCTGTTTGCTCCCCTCCACTGACAAGCACGCCAGCCTCAGGCTAGACCAGGTTGATGGAACAGAGCTGCTCGCATACGCCCTTCTATTCTTATCAGCTGGATAAACACAAGGAATGCAGCCTTTGAAATGCATGACAGTCTGCCTGGATGGAGCCAAAGAATTTTCCTCTGTTATCTTTGATTTACCTCCTAAGGCAGTTTCAGGACTGTTTGACTTCCAAGAAAGCTTTGCTCACCATGCTGACCAGTCTGTAAAGATGTGAAAGAGTGGGGGTGGTTGTGGTGGTCCCAAGCTTAGAACAGAACTGCTCCATTCAGAATGTCTGTGGGAAGGTTTTGAGCAAGTTGTATTGCAATGCAATGGAAAACATGTTGAGTGTTCTACCATACAGGAACTAAGGACGTAAAGGCCATTAAGCAGGACATAGGAATTTGGGCAGGATGTAAGAATGTTGCCTACTTAGGTAAGGAAAAGTAGCCCTAAGGACCCACATCAGAGTCGTGTGTTGTATCATTAGCTGATTTGCAAACTGTTTCAGACAGGTTTTCCTGGGAGGGAAATGGGAAATAAATAAGGGTAGAAACAAATATATGGTGCCTGCTTGGTCAAGACAGGTCACCCTTCTCTAATCAAGGGCCATCAAAGCTGAAGTACAATTCCCATCACCAGCTTCACGATGAGACAGTCCAATACAGCTGGAGCCATTTAATTTGGGAGAAACAAAATTAAAGTGCCCCTGACAGATTCTTATTTCTTATTTATTTCTTATTAAATTTGTATGCCGCCTGACTCCCAATGACTCGGGGTGGCTCATAGGTAGAACATTTTTTTTAAAAAATCGGAAACAAAAATAAGGAATGAAAGATAGCAAGGTGACAGAAACCGGACTGGAACAGAAAAAAAAAAAAAAGAATCCAAGGGGCCTTCACTCATCCTTGCTAAAGGCCTGGGAGAAGAGCCAGGTCTTCAAGGCTCCTTGATACACCAGTAGGGTGAGGGCCATCTAGATCTTGGTGGGGGCGAATCTCATCCCAGAGGGCTGGCGCTGTCCAGCCTCTGCTTCTCCTCATCTCCACCACCTCTCTAGACAACTGATTCCACTGCCAAATTGCTCTTATCATTTTCCTAACATTCAATTAGAGTCTGTCTTCTAGTCCCCAGTTCTTTACTCTTTACTAAATTCTTTACTCCATCTTGCTTCTGGGATGAGACAGACAGCAGATCTTCCATGTGCCATTCTTCCAAGTTTTTAAAGAAGGCTGGCACATCCC